AATCAACCGTCTACTGAAATGTACAGGTAATGTTATCAACTGTCTACTGAAATGTACAGGTAATGTAATCAACTGTCTACTGAAATGTACAAGTAATGTTATCAACTGTCTACTGAAATGTACAGGTAATGTTATCAACTGTCTACTGAAATGTACAAGTAATGTAATCAACCGTCTACTAAAATGTGCAAGTAATGTAATCAACTGTCTACTGAAATGTACAAGTAATGTAATCAGCCGTCTACTGAAATGTACACGTAATTAAACAACCGTCTACTGAAATGTACAAGTAATGTTATCAACCGTCTACTGAAATGTGCAAGTAATGTTATCAACCGTCTACTGAAATGTACAGGTAATGTAATCAACCGTCTACTGAAATGTACAAGTAATGTTATCAATCGTCTACTGAAATGTACAAGTAATGTAATCAACCGTCTACTGAAATGTACAAGTAATGTAATCAGTTGTCTAATGAAATGTGCAAGTAATGTTATCAACTGTCTACTGAAATGTACAAGTAATGTAATCAACTGTCTACTGAAATGTACAAGCAATGAAATCAGCCGTCTACTAAAATGTGCAAGTAATGTAATCAACTGTCTACTGAAATGTACAAGTAATGTAATCAACCGTCTACTGAAATGTACACGTAATGTAATCAACCGTCTACTGAAATGTACAAGTAATGTTATCAACCGTCTACTGAAATGTACAAGTAATGTAATCAGCTGTCTACTGAAATGTACAAGTAATGCAATCAGCCGTCTGTTGAAATGTACAAGTAATGTAATCAACCGTCTACTGAAATGTACAGCAAAAGTAAAAAGTCATCGACTAAAACGTGAAGTCATGCGATCAGACTGTCAGACATCTACTGAAATGTGCAAGTAACGCAAGCAGTGACTACTGAAATGAACAAACAATATACACCTGCAACAATATATAAATTTACATAATCCGATATGTACAGGATAAATACCAAAATGCACAAGAAACGTAACCTACTCCTATCAGAGACTGTGTCAGTAATTACAATGCATTCTATCAACAAGCGGTTCATCATATAGATGAAGAACGCTCAGCTGTCCCGAAGTGGGAGCCGCAATTCGCAGAAAGTCACGGGGGTTATTGACGAGAACTGGCATCACACTATGCTCCCTTCAGGGTAATCGACCACAGATCTTGTTACTATAGCCACCAGAATATGTAGGCACCGCATATCTCCCAGTAAATAGATGCAGATCATAATGGCATTATTCACTGTATCTTTTTGAGATGGAATCCAATCTGTTATTTGCGGCCTGAGCACAGTGAAATATGCATGAAGGAAATGATTTGGTTTGGCTGTCATCCAATGTTACTCACGTAAAGCTTTACGCTTCCGTCAGCTATAAATATATAAACGTGTATATGCACAGTGGTGTCAGTGTCCTCAAACAATGGTAATGTTGTGTTATGTAATCCACACGGATGTGGAGGCGCACTGGATAACCGATTACAACTCATGTACAACTTTTGTACAACTTGGGATTGTGTAGGAAATTCAAGATAGGCCATTATAATATGGTGTGTGGGAATGGTTACCCTCTTGTGGAAAAGACATTAAAACTACATCGAGTAAGATCTAGCTCGAGACAAATATAAAACTGATATGTTACTCAAAAGATGTTAAGGATCATCTGATTGCTATGTATTACCATACCTATTCGAAGAATTGATTAAATATAGTTTACGAAATTTCAGGTGACAGCGATGTGTTTGATTAAAATACACCCTGCCTGATTACGCGCGCGTGCGAGCACACACACACACACACATGCGCGAGCGCGGACGGGGGCCGGGGGAGTTGCCCAGTGGTTAAATCGTTCGCTCGTCACACCGAAGACCCGGGTTCGATTCCCCACATGGGCACAATGTGTGAAGCCCATTTCTGATGTCCCCCGCCGTGATATTGCTGGAATATTGCTAAAACGGCATAAAACCCAAACCCACTCACTCACTCACGCGGACGGACGGACGCGCGCACACACGAACTTTGTTTCACTCTAGCGATCTTTTAATTGAAGGCAAATGAAATATATGTAAAGTATGAAATATGAAATTATGCAAATAGGTTCAGTAGTATTTTATTGTTATCGATTGATGACACTTCTGGGACCCCACGTTTCGAGTTTCAAGTTCCTAACAACCTATTGTTGTCTTAAGAGGGTCGATGGACAGGTTTGTAACTTGTCATTTTACCCTTACGACGTGGATCGTTGTTCATGATGTCGGTCACTGGATTGTCAAGTCCTGACCCGGTTATTTAAAATACTACCGTCATGCACCTGGAATGTTGCTAACTGCGGAGTTAAACGACAACAAACGAATATCGGTGTTGACACTAGTTCAAAACCGAGCATCTAGCTTCGTGAGTTGAACCCGTGAAGATCCGGGTTCGATTTGATCTTCAGTAACCCATCCATGTCGAAAGAGGCGACTAATGGGATCGGGTGGTCAGGCTCGCTGACTTGGTTGACACATGTCATCGCATCCCAATTGTGCTCGTGATGTTGATCACTGGATTATCTGGTCCAAACTCGATTATTTACAGACTGCCGCCATGTACAACTGCTGATGATGTCGCAATAGGGCAATGGACACTGCTTTTTAAGAGATTTACTATGATTATAAATGTTTCCTGTTGTTTGTGTTTTACAGGAAACATCGAGGTCGTTGTAACCCTTAGCCACCTTGTAACTGTTCGAATGACAAGAAACCAACGGATATGAAATCGACCTGATCAGCCTCTTGAAATTCGTCTGTCCATGAGTCTGGTATTTCCTGACAAACTGAGAGCTGGGTAACACAGGAACTGTGTATTCGTTAACACCTGGTCTTAAAGGGGCAGTGTGTTACGAGGTGACGTGTTCAGTGGCTGTCAGTGGTGCAACGGGCCGGTGCAACTAGAGCGTGCCTTGCATGGCATTGCCTCAGCTACCAGACAGCTGCCAATAGTTAACAGGACACAGGATATTCCATTTGGCACCTACACAAAGTAGCATTTCGAGGATAATACCAAACGTGCTACTGTTGTCTACACTTGTTTTAATAACAAAACCCGTGAAGGTCCGGGTTAGAATTGATCTTCAGTAACCCGTGCTTGTCGTAAGAGGCGACTAACGGGATCGGGTGGTCAGGCTCGCTGACTTGGTTGACACTTGTCATCGGTTCTCAGTTGTGCAGATCGATGCTCATGCTGTTGATCACTGGATTGTCTGGTCCAGACTCGATTATTTACAGACCGACGCCATATAGTTGAATATTGCTGAGTGCGGCGTAAAACTAAACTCACTCACTCACTTTAATAACAAAAATTGGGAGATCGGTTGTTCGATCCCCGGCCTGTCACATTAGGCGTTAAAAGATGGTATATGTTGTTACCGTGCCTGGCGCTCGGTTCTTTCGTTGCTCATGGCCTCTGTGCGCACTATTCCATCCATATGACAGCGGTCTATAAATAATCGAGTCTATACCAGACAACTTGAGCATTGATCCTGCAACTGGGATAGGATGACAGGCATCAGCCAAGTTAGCGAGACAGAGCACCAGGATCTATTTGTTGTGTCTTACGACAGGGTTGCTGAAGACCTCTGGGGCTCCTTCCACGAAGCTTTACTAGTGAGTGAGTGAGTATGGTTTTACGCCGCTTTTAGCAATATTCCAGCAATATCACGGCGGGGGACACCAGAAATGGGCTTCACACATTGTACCCATGTGGGGATTCGAACCCGGGTCTTCGGCGTGACGAGCGAACGCTTTAACCACTGGGCTACCCCACCTCCCTCGAAGCTTTACTAAGGTTAACCGTAACTCCCATTCTTTAACAGGTTACCTTAGTGACTTACGATCACCTCAGTGCTTTGTGAAAGGAGGCCCTGCTCGATAGTATGAGTATAAAACAAGCACTGGTCATAAGTCCTGACTAATACAATCAAACAGCAACAAACGCGGACGCACATACACACATTGCATGTCTGTTCAATAATTGTGAAGGAAACGTCAAACCCTTATTTCATTGCTGGTAATCCAGTGTATTCTGAAAATTATTACCTAAAATGAAAACATAGATCACAGCAAAATGTAATCTTTTCTCAGTTATCTCAGTCCTTAATCGCTGTGTTTACAAACAAGCGCACCCCGTTAACACAAACAGAACCGTTTACAGTGATATTGACAAATGTTCGAGATAACAATTCATTGGTATCGCGTAATGACCTAGGTGCATGAAGGCGTCCCAACAGGATGTTGGGAAAAACAGAGATTCCGGATAAACGGGTTCTTCATTAAGGGGGTTCAACTGTAGTTATGATGACTGGATTGTCAGGGCCAGACTCGATTATTTACAGACCCTCTTCATAAAGCTAGGGGCCGGTGGGGTAGCCTAGTGGTTAAAGCGTTCGCTCGTCACGCCGAAGACCCGGGTTCGATTCCCCACATGGGCACAATGTGTGACGCCCATTTCTGGTGTCCCCCGCCGTGATATTGCTGGAATATTGCTAAAAGCGGCCTAAAACTAAACTCACTCACTCACTTTTCATAAAGCTGGAATTTTGTAAGTTCCAGAGCAATAAAAATGAAAAACGTTACACTGACGGTCCGGTCTGGAACACTTCTTGCCTCGAATTAGCTTTGCAATCCCAGTTTTGCACTGTTCGAGACAAGCAGTGCTTGGTTAAAGGTGAATAACAGGGACTCCGATTTTGCAAGTCCTCTTTGAGAAACAAGATTTGTCTGTTGTTTAACGCCGTACTGAGCAATATTTCAGCCTATATGACGGCGACCTGCAAATAATCGAGTATGGACCAGACAATCATGTGATGGACATCATACGCGTCGATCGACGTATTCCGAATACGATGACATGTATCAAACAAGTCAGCGAGCTTGACCACCCGATCCCGTTAGTTGGAGATATACGATCAATCGAAGGAACAACAAAAACATTCTGTTTTAAGATCACAAATGTTTTTATTTCTCGTTGTTTCACAATAAATAAGGAATGGGAAATCGCCACTAAACAACAGTTTGACATATGAAAGACACTTCATGTGCAGGTGAGCGAAATATAACAGCGAATTAAGTCATAAACCTTTCAATGGTTGAATATAAATATTGAGACGTATTTAGATCCAAACCGCTACCAATAAAACACCTTACCCCCAAATACAAACAAAATGAATTATTGATCACATGTTAAAATATTAAACAATTACAGTAGTATATACTAATGTTTACATATTCATAAGCATTAAGTAACATCCTAATTTTTTACAATTATTAATATTCTTGTTACCCGGATATTTTGAAATTTTCGTTAATTTTAACCTTTGAAAAGTTTAGACAAACTATGACATGACTAGGGTTTCTGATAGCAAATTGACGTCGACATGATATTTATCATCTGCTGCCTTTTTTGTACATATGAGATTCATTGACACGAAACAGGTGACATGTACAAGTGCGTATTTCATCGTATATCAAAGTATGTGGTGCTGTACACGAACAAATAATTGAATAAATTCAAAACTTCAAAAATATTGCAACGAAATTGTAATATCGTTTCGTGGCTCTAATATGATAAATGAGAAATCTCGTTGTGAGGATTCTGGTGTTGATGAATGTTGGTAGAGTATTATAACAGTTATAAATAACGTCATCAAATGACTGTGAAGAATATACCTTTGTCCATAATGGCGTTTTGTTCATTCCTTTTTCTTTGAACGAAATATATACAATCAAATTAATATGTCCATGAATTTCTCAGATCAAGAGATTAAAACTCCCCACGTGACTGTTTAAATAACAAGGTATTGATCTCATCTATACAAAGGTTTTTCAAACCAAAACGCTTCGCCGATTTCATCGAATATTTTAACAAATAGTTCTTATTACTATATGCGCACTTCGTGCATAATATGTTCAATAATATTTCTGGTATATATGCATTAAAATGTATTTTACATAATTTTAATACTTCTACTACTACAAAACATGAACAATGGAATTAAGTCAATGTTCAATTCAGCTGTGCAACAGTTTGCTGCGCTGATTTTCTTTTAATAAACGTGACACAGAAAAGAATACCTCTTTTGCTAAGAGTTGGAAAAAATGACAATCAACAATGTTGATCTATGAAAAGAAAAGACATGTGCAAACGCTTGGAAGCGCAGCGGGGAGCGATGTGTCAATCATTCTACATCCTGGGATGAAAGTTACATAGGTATAAACATGTTGAAATGTAATCAATTGCGAAATGAATATGATATATACCGAGCTACCAGGACAAGACTTTCACAACTTTACCCGTTTTACAAGACAAAATAGATCACTCACAAGCAAATGAACGATATACCATTGAAATGCACAACCCCTTGTAAAGATCAGCTTCGACTTCAGTTCTTGGATGATTTACCACACATCTGTCAAATTGACGATGGTGTCAATTACAACGTCGGTTTCACAAGTTTATCATATGGAATTCTTGGGCCTGGTTGTAAAAGTCATTAAAGGGATTGTTTATTTCGGAGTTATAATTGTCCATGTATCCGTTACACATGTTCGGGGCCTGTGCGTTACAGGAGCTGCTGCTTTGGTACTCTTGTACATTGCATGCTGGGGTGAAATTGGCATACATCTGTGTCGATTGCAGATGAGGCCTCTGCTCACTCGGCTGATTGGCAGCTGACGGGTAGCTCGCCATGTAATCACTATCATAAAGCGTATTGGCTGAATGTGAGTCTATTGAAGAATTCTGCTGGGGATATGCAGTCGATTTCTCGCCATAGCCGGCATTATAATTCAGATTGCCAGTTCTATTACTCGCGCTTCTAGCGTAGAACCCATTACTGTAGCCCATGCTTGACGCTTGACTCTGCCTATTCAAACTTCCCCGTGCGGCAAAATTCACCTCGTATTGATAGTGGTAATTCAAATTGTCATCTTTGAAGCCGTTTTGGGTAAAGCCTGCTTCGCTGTTGTTTCTGGGTCTGTATGGGAATGTGGGCTGAGCATCCCGAGTAGGGCGGTCGGAGGTTTGACCTTGTCCTTGAGGTATCGGGTACTGAGGAGGGGGTGGCATCCCCGGGGCTGCTCCCTCCGTCCCTCGGGGGGTATCGGCGCTACCACAGTCACCGTGACCAAATCCGGGGTATCGCTGACCGGGAAAGCCGGTCAATGTGTTCGGACTAAACTGTTTCGAATTAGAAGCCTGTCGCTGATACGCGATCTGATCGGATACCTGATACCGCGGGTCTTGGGTACACACATTCACTGCAGAATACCCTGATGGACATTGAGGCTGACCTTGAGTAAAAGGATTGCTGACCTCAAATCTTGGCTTTGTCGTTGGGTAGTCTCCTTGCAGAGAGGCTGCGTCGTTCATGACTGCGCCGTGAGAGACGGCAACGTCTGTGGGGTATCCGTCCTGTTCTGATTTGTGGGCTGCAAACGGATTATGCAATCCAGGTTGTTCGCCTGGGCTTGGAGATGACCCTTTGACGTCTTGTGAGGGAACTCGCTGATGAGTTTGGTTTGGGGAGATTGAAGCTTGTATCTGCTGAGGGACACTACCAGTGGACAAAGCCGGACTTGTAGCGCTGCGCAGACTGTCTGGTGAGCAGAGTCCAGAGTCTGCCGATGAACTCAAACTTCTTGTCGTCTGCGGACTTGTCGTCTGCCGATCGCCATTCTCTTTCACTTCCGGTTCAATGGGCTCCGTTTTCGTTTGGGAGTGCGAGTTCTCACTGAGCATTGTCTCTTTAAAAACGAATCTTTACACATCAACGAGCTTTCATTGTGAGCAAAGACATTGTCTTTCAATTGAAAGCCGTTCCTGGCTTCTCGCTTAAAGCCGTCTGCTTCAGCAATTTCCTTTATCTCGCTGCGGTCCGAATCGGACTCCATGCCGTCTTTATCATCCAGCCTATCGTTGCTATCTCCCAGAGATCCTGGACTCCCAATCTCCCGATCCACACGACTGCCAACGTTTTTGATATCATACTCCGCTTTCTGTCGCTGGGACTGAGTCTGACGTTTGTACTTCATCCGTCTGTTCTGAAACCAGACTTTGACTTGTCGCTCTGTAAGGTCGAGTGAAGCTGCTATCTCGATCCTTCGCGGCCTGCAAAGATACTTGTTGAAGTGAAATTCCTTCTCGAGTTCCAACAGTTGGGTGTTCGTATACGCCGTCCGCAGCCTCCTCGACGTGCTGGAGTTGCCGTTACTGCCGACGGAGTTTGGGCTGAACCCTGAAATGAATATATATAAGTATTATTTCAATGTAAACTTCACATCATTCAAAACCAGCTACTAAAAATCTAGCTCCCTGTATACAAGAGGTAGCCCATTCAATATGTCATAACAGTCCTTTTACACATCTATACTATCTCATAGGCTGCTTAGAAGGTTTTGCATTAGACTAATGCTTAGTCTCTGAATATATATAATTTTGATAGTAACAAACAAGCCCATTTAAATTGAAAAGGAGCCCCAGGGAGACCAGAGATTGAACCTGAGGAAATCTAGACTTGCTTTATTTAAGGCTTTAGCACTGCAGAGAGGGCTTGGCAGTAGGAAAATAATGTGGTTCAGGGACTGTGAGACAGACTAGTGTTGCATCAATACACGCAGGACTGACTTGCTATTTCAACATCTTTTTATTTTCAGATATATCATTTCATATTGATCAGATATTGGTCTAGTGGACAGATCATCTGAACGGAGAGTGGAAGGTCGGGGTTCGATTCTCGGCTGCATCAAATCAAAGGACTTGAGGTGTTTCTAATTGTTACCCTGTGATGCGCTTGATCTTAAGGAGATGTAACTTGTAGTCGTGGACGCGGAGCTAGTATATTGTGTCTGAGCTGCAGTGAGTGAGTGAGTATGGTTTTACGCCGCGTTTAGCAATATTCCAACAATATCACGGAGAGGGACACCACAAATGGACTTTGTGCCCATGCAGGGAATCGAACCCGACTCTTCAGCGTTACAAGCGGGCGCTTAAACCATTAGGCTACCCCACCGCCCCACGCTGAGCTGGGTATTAGTGGGTATGGAATCCCAATGTCCTAGCACTATGAAAGTGACATTGATCCTGACAAGGACAAGCGACAACGCACACGTGCATGCATGTCGCAGCATACAGGCAGTAACCTTGAACATCGCATTAAACTCGTTTCACCTCGCCTTATCGTGATTAATGTGACAGTAGAAAGCATATCCTTACGCCGTAACTCCCAGATGTGGTATAGAGGGACACATTATGCACACTGTACACATAAAATCACTCGCTCTGACAAACATCAGAGTTACGAGGCGTGTACCTGTGTTGTACCACGGCGTGAAAGTTATGATATTAATAATGATATTAACATATCAGGCGTGATTTAATATCTACACTGCTGTGCAAACCTTTCATTCCTTGGGACATGATGTCTGAATGCCATAAAAATATAATGTATAATTTTATTTCACGTTGCCACCAACACAACTATGCTAATTGTGTTACACCGTCCGATTGCGAGTCTTTTATATATTTTACACAATAACTTTTATGTTATATTATGTTAATTAGGGCAATAAAACAAGGCTTTTCATCCTTCAGAGGAAATGCGCTGAAATTTCAACTTGATTTTGTTTAGTGGTTGTTATGAAATACTGCGGATTGCACATGTTATGGGGTTTTTCAGACTTGGTTTGGCGTCCATAACTGTAAATATAAAACACCGACACTGGTGAATAACTAATCTCGATTATCAGTAAATCACGGCGAGTTTTCATCCAGTATCGAGATTTTCATTCACCCACATGGGAATTTCAGACAAAGTTCGGAACCCAATTGATTGTGCCAAAAAGGACGGGTGCAATAAAATATAAATATTTAAACCGTATTAACATAATGCATTAACGTGTGGAATTGTATTTGGGAAGAAAGACCAGTTGTTGATTTCAATAATTTAGCAACACGCCTGACAGTATGGGGTTTTATGTTACAGCTGTCAAATCACCGAGGCTCAGGATGATATAGACATGCAATGGACATGCAATGAACATGCAATGAGCATACACTGAGCATGCAATAGACATGCAATGAACATGAAACGAATATGAAATGACATTGCAACACTCTGTATTTACGAAGAATGGTTCCTATTCCGCAAAGCGATTGTAGTACAAAGATGATCTTAACGTCCATACCTCAAAATAGACTTACGAGTGTCGCAGAGATACGATCGCTTCGTGGAAGGGTCCCCTACTTCGATGAGTTTTGACATGCCAGTGCCACTCACTGCCTTCAGAAATAGGACTTAGCTACCACACGTTTTTACATACATTAGTAACCAAGAAATCATATTCCATGTTCCTGGAACCGTATTTCACTTTCAAAATGTTTATCTGCAACAAAACCCCTTCTATCTGAAATAAAGCCTGACCTGGTTATATCGAACTTTATTATCTTGATACTATCGTTTACGACGACATCGTTATCATGATTTACAGCGACGAAACGCCTTTTTCGAACAACGGATAATGACATATCCGTTGGTCTCAATGGTTTCAGGTTAAAGATGTTTGACTACGTATTCATATGTTAATGTCACAATAAAATATGGCCTCCAGTCATCTTAACGGCGTACGGAGGGCCCAGTCATCGAAGGCCCAGAAATTTGCTGTTCAAAGTTACCTCCCTTGGGTACATCAGGAACCTAGGATTACATTTTCAAAGTCCGATTCCTAAGACTATTTTTTAGTTTGACAGCACCGCATCATGTGTGTGTGTGTGTGTGTTCATCGAAGAGCTAAACGACTGAGACCTGCATAGCATCGATCTTATCTCCCACATTAACCTGTCATATCGTAATATAAGAGGAATACCGTTGAATGAGCCGTTAATCAAAACTCTTAACGTTTTAGACACTTTGTTATATAATTGTGATAAAAATTCGATACGATCGAAAAGTTAAATTTTCAAATCTTACCAATTGTTATTCGACAATGCTGTAACGTATAGTAAATGAGACGGTCTAACTAACACCTGAATTGACAATAAATTATGTTCCCAATGATCCGGTCACAGGACAGGGGGAATAGCCAGTGATAGAGAAGTGACAAGGGGCATTTCTTGACAGAACGTGGGGATTTGCCGATTGAAACCATCAGAGTTCTAAGGTTCCAAGCTTAATCACTTATGAATCTCACTGACTCCCGCGAGGATTTACAGAGATACTCGCTCATCAATAGGCTTTTAGTGAAATTTCTTGTCAGAAATAATTTTCAAGCTTGACTACTCGTTTTAATCATTAATCTGGTCAGGAGAAGAACGTGGAATAAAAATTGTCTTTGGTAATTGGTGTTGAGGGGAGTTTTATTACCGCACGCTTGTACTTGAATTAATCTAATTAGCAGATGCAGCGGAGATAATCCGCTTGAAGTTGATTTACGTGTGACTGCGTTTAGGGGGATATGAAGACCAGTGTCTAAGTCATATGTGTGTGTTGTAAGTATTGTAAATTTACATAATTATTAATCAGTTTATGAAGAAATACCACACTATATATCTTTTGTAATGTATGAGACAATTTGACTGGATTAACGTGTTGTTGTCTTGACAGTGTAGTGTGTGTGACATTTTGTTATTGTGTGTTAATAATCTGATAACATTTGGCAATTAATACTGCTATTATGTCTTCTCCTGCGACACCTGCTACTGCTGCTACTACTGCTGTTACTGTTGCTGCTTTTGTTACAAATTTTATTGCTACTGCTATTGCTGATGCTACTACTGCTGTTACTGTTGCTGCTATTACTACAAACTTTATTGCTACTGCTATTGCTGATGCTACTACTACTGTTAATGCTGCTGCTGCTGTTTGCTGCAGCTCTTAGTGCTACTACTACGCAATGATACTACTACTGTTACTGCTGTTAGTGAGTATGGTTTTACGCCGCTTTTAGCAATATTCCAGCAACATCACGGCGGGGGACACCCGAAATGGGCATCACACACTGTACCCATGTGGGGAATCGAACCAGGGTCTTTGGCGTGACGAGCAAACGCTTTAACCACTAGGCCACCCCACCGCCCTGTTACTTCTGTGACGATTGCTACTACACCTACTGCTGCTAAGGCTACTGCTGATGCTGCTGTTACTACTGTTACTGCTGCTACATCTGTAACTGTTACTGCTACTACCAATACTGCTGCTACTATTTGTCACTACTATTACATCTACAGCCACAACCTCTTCAACTACTACTACTACTACTACTACTACTACTACCAACACCACCAATAACTACCTCTCCTCTACAACTTCAACCACTTCAACACAGCCAAAACTCTTCAACTACTACAACTACTACTACTACTACTACTATTACTACCAACACCACCAATAACTACCTCTCCTCTACAACTTCAACCACTTCAACACAGCCACAACCTCTTCGACTACTACAACTACTACTACTACTACTACTACTACTACTACTACTACTACTACTACTACTACCAACACCACCAATAACTACCTCTCCTCTACAACTTCAACCACTTCAACACAGCCACAACGTCTTCAACTACTACTACTACTACTACTACTACTACTACTACTACCAACAACACCAATAACTACCTCTCCTCTACAACTTCAACCACTTCAACACAGCTACAACGTCTTCAACTACTACTACTACTACTACTACCAACAACACCAATAACTACCTCTCCTCTACAACTTCAACCACTTCAACACAGCTACAACGTCTTCTACTAACTACTACTACTACTACTACCAACAACACCAATAACTACCTCTCCTCTACAACTTCAACCACTTCAACACAGCTACAACGTCTTCAACTGTAATACGTTTAAACCTTAGCCATTTAATACTTCACAGTACAATTTGTAAGTAAATATGCAAGCATGACAACTGTATTCTCGTCCACACAAACTGCGTATTATTACATTATCAAACTTTTAGTATACAATGTAATAGATCCATGTCCATAGCCCAGCGACATTGACAAATATGCTGTCTCACTGTCGACTTGGTACCCGTCGATCGTTAACGTACGTTTATTATGACCGGTGCAACGTGTGTGTTATGTTCAGTTGCGAGCGTGAACTGCCTAATCTGAAATACGCGCCTGTCAATCAATTAACCAATATGAAACCCCAAGACATTCAACACTGACGGTAACAACATACATTTTGGTCTCGCGTTGATACAAGTCATTTTAAAAC